ACATTGGCAATGACAGTGTTCACAGCTCCCAGATGATTTCAATGTGCCCCAGGGCTGAGAACCATAGTCTAACTCCTTCTCTACCTACTATGATTGTTTTGCAAGTTTAGGCCGTAGGTTCACAGATTGGAGAGGCATACATAATGAGAAATGCACACTTGGTTAAGAATGTTTCGAAGTAGAAAAATAGGTAAGAGTAATCTGATCCAGACCAGAAAGATGCTCTATATATTCTATCAAAAGTTATAATGGAGTGACCCCAGATTGTCTTTTTCCTACTACTTTCTCTTTTCATAAGACGTGAATAAAGCAAGGCATACAGTTGTGATTTCTCTCTTGGTCTCAAAGAGAAGAACTTCCAGATTTTGGAAGGTAGGTGGGAATGACCATAATCACTAGGATGATGCTCCTTTTCTGGCTAGACAAGAATGAGGACAGAAGTAGCTTCAAAGCCGAGGAAGCTGATGTTTAACAAAACAGGTATCTCTCAGAACTGAATACCAAGAGGTGTATGGCAGTGTCATACTCACTTTGGGAACGTGACATAAGCAAGAGGTCAAGAACAAGGAGGGAAAAGTGCAAACAGAGAAAAATACATGATTGCATTGCAAAATCTAAAAGAGGGAGGAAGAGAGGATTTAAGGAGCAATCCTCTCCATATCCATGAACTTGAGGCAAAGAAAGCAATAAAGTGTGTTCTTTCTTTCTTTCTTCTTTTTTTAAGCAAAAGCCTCTGTCTTACATTCCAAGAGTAGCCTTGTCCAAAAGCAATGGTTCCTGGTTTGGACACAATGTCCAAAAGCAACAGTTTCTGGTTATTTATTACAGATCTATATTTTCCCTGTCAATCACTTCACTGCTTGATCCTAGAGAAACCTAGAGCTCTAAACCAGAGAACCTGTGGGTATATTTAGCCATGAGAAAAAACTTTCGTTGCTCAGTAAACCTTCTATTGAGTTCACGATGGACCTCATTTCCTTTAGGGAAGCCAGCTACTGCATACTGCTGAAGAAAGATGTGACCTCAACTCAAACTATTGAAATTTGGTAGCCTACTCCTAGGAATTAATTTAACCCTCCTCATCTTACCGAAGAACAACTCAGTGCCTGTAATTTTCTTCTGTTGGAGTTCTTCTATGAACAGTAAGGCTTCTTCATTGAACAAGAAAACAAACAAAGTAAAAGAGTACATTAACTACAAAAGCAATCCTTGGAGCTTATACACTACAGGAGGGATGAAAGCAGAAAGCACCGATTCTCTCTGTGGTTTAACGTATTTCCCTCAAAACTGACAAATGTCCTCCTTATGAAATATAAATGTTTGTAGAAGCCACTTTGCATGACTTGTGAATTACCAAATACACATACACACAGGTAGATAGATAGGTAGACGTAAAATCACATCACAAATCACTTTCCACTAATTTTATATCACAAATGTCAAGTGTACCAAATTCTTTACTCTTTGAGCTGTGATAAAAGTGATTTTTATGTTTTCCTAAGTTTGGAAAAGTGTATGACCAGGATACTTTGCCATTTCACTGAAAATATGTGGTGATTACCCAGGATTGAGCAGAAGTTTGGGAACATGGCAGTAGCCACAATAGCTGGAACAAATATTTCACAAGAAGAGCTCCTTTATGATATTTTTATAATATTTTTAAAGATGCATATTAAATAATTTCTTCTGGACCACAGACATGATTGAACTTAAAAAATACAAGCCCTATAAATATTGCCAACCCAACCTTGTCTTTTGTATCTCCCTTCTTGCATAAAATGGAATCTTTTCAACCAAGCACTTAAAACATAAATATTAAAATAATAAATGGGACACACTGAAAATCTACTTATAATTTCATCACTACTGTAGCACCTTTTTGCCAAGGCCAATGCATTCATTTCATAAAGAACAAGAGAAGTCTGAGAAGCTTACGGACTCATATGACACATCATTAAATATTTAATCACCTTTTAAGTCCTAAGCCTTTATCATATTTCATCCATCTAGACAGTTCATTCTATACTCTAGATTCCAAAGCCCCCTTTGGAGGGGGGAAAAAAAGAAAATGGAGAGAGAAAACCCTCTGAGAGGCAGGGTTAAATTATCTCAAAGATGACTTTCTATTGGCGCTGTAGTGAACTTGCTTCACCTCGAAACCCACCAATCCACAGTAGGGTCAACTGATTAAGTCCATTGCTTTTTAGTCTCCAAGAATCAGTTTTACAAAAGATGCCACATCTGTTGCTTTGGATTCATGTAGGGTGAAAAATGGATGTTGCTGAGAAAGAAAAGAAAAATACACGGTATTAATATTTGTCACTGACAATATATGAGATTATCAAATTAATAGATCTGTTTGATAAACAGATTAAGTATCCCTCTCAGGGCTCAGCTGGACTCTTCCCATCCCTTCCGAAATCAAGCACCCATCTAGTGATGCAAACATTTAAAGATATTTCTTAGTTGCCACTCCTCCCATTTTGATATCTCTAGGTTTCCGCTACCGTCTATGGCTTTTAAAAAAGTTGATTTATAAAAACTTTGGTCCTCCAAAGTCATTTAAGTAGTAAAATAATCAGAAATTTCATAGATTTATGCACTTTCATTTCTCAGGAAATGGATGGTAGAATGAGAAACCAATTTTGTTGAACAGTAAATGTTCGAGGAAGGCAGTCCTTGCCTTTGACATCAGAGAGCTGGTTTGGACTGAAACAGTTAAAGCCATTTTCCAAGCCACGAGTTATACTTAGGTCTCTCTTGATGAAGAGTTAATCCATCTGGAAAATAATGTAGAGTGCCAAACTCTAGGTATGTGCAGAGAAATTGAACTTGGAGATTAAAGATTGAAAAGGAAACATTGGTCTCTATTCACATAGCTCAGATCAACTTTAAAAATACATCAAGTCCTGCACTCAGCTGGGTGAACAGGCACAGTATGATTCAAGAGGACGCATGTTTCAAAACAATTCTGGTGACAAGAAGCCGTTTTCTCTGCACCAGCCCAATTCTCCCCGAATGGCTCAACTTTGTCACAAAAAGTGCCCAGCTGTCACGGTGTAACCTGCCACCTCTAATAAGAAAGAGATACATCAGGTCATGGATCCACAGTTCTCACAGTGGAAAGAGAACCAACCAAATCAACCAAAAAGGATGATGCCTCCAGGTAGCACCTAATGCCGTGCTCCTACTCACCTGCCACGCCCACTTCCCCAATCCCCGGGGCTGCCGACTATTCTCAATGACCAGCTGAGCAGCTAAATATGAGCATTTTTACACGCAGACATGTAGATGATTCACTGTTTCCCCTGAATTTAAGAACTTTAGTTTACAACCTTCCTGTTGCCTAGCTGTAGGTTTGCTAATTATATTTGTTTTAAACCTGACAGCAGAGGGCTGAATGAGTCAGCTCTGTGGGGAACTGAATGCCCACCCATGAAAGTTTTAGGAAGCAATGAAAATGGGAAAGGAACAAGGACATAAAACCCAAACGAAGGTAGCTGGTCACTGTTAAGTATCATAACTCAGAAAACGGAAAAGAGGTTTTCTGCCTTTGCCTGTCTGAGGATACAGGTTGGGTGTTGGCCCAGATCCTCACACCCATGACGTCAACTGAAGCTCTGGATGCTGGGTCCTTCCTCCGGAGCTCCCTCGACAACTACACAGCAGCACCGCTCTGATTACTAACCACTTACACAGCACATTCACCAAGTGCTTTGCCATCGTGCTTATTAGCTTTCCCACATCCTCTTGACATTTGGAAATCTTTTAATGTACTTAAAAGCTTTATACTATCAAAACAGGACACGCCAAACCTCAGATTGTCTTGGTGACTGCTTCCAATGCCTGCCAGCCCCACCTTGTCTCCTGTCCTACTAGTGGCTATTAGTGCAGTGGATGGAGCCTGAGTCTGAGAATCCATTAAATAGCCTGACCTGAAGTCTTTAATAAAAGAAAACATCCGCAGGGACCTTTCCATTTATTCCCAGGTTTGGAGAATGCTGTGAGAGCCAGGAGGGGAGGGGGAGGGGAAAGCAGGCAGGCATGTCAAATGGAAAGTGTGACTTGCCCTCTTGTGTGGGTTTTGAGGCTGTAAAGGGTTGGGAGGAAACCCAGTCCCTTCTATAAGCAATGGACTAAGAATAGCAAGGAAAGACAGCAACCAGGAGACAAACAAATGAGGCACCATGAACAACCCCTAGACCACAGTCCCAGGCTGGCTTTCCCACAAGGGAAGCCAGGTACAAGAAGAGGGACTTTGCACCATTTAGGTTCACTGTTGTGCCTGGAGAAAACACGGAGATCTATAAGCATACCGCCAGGAGCAGAAGCGCAAGCTACAGTCACCAACAGGTCTCCACAGCCCCTGCACAATGCCCCATCCCTCCAGACTGTTTCCATGGGTTCAGGTACCTTTGCTTAACATTGCAATTCAGTCTAGAACTTCCTAAGGTATTTGGAGGAAATAATCGCCTCACCAGGCAATCCTTTGAATGACCTGGTCATCATTTCTGGCAGTTATCATCTAGGACAGGGGTCAGCAAATTATGGCCCAAGGGCCAAATCTAGCCATGGTCTATTTATTAAATAAAGTTTTATTGAAACACAGTTGCACACACACTCCTCCCCCCGGCCCCCATATTGGATATGCCTGCTTTCACACTGCAACAGCAGACTTGGGTAGTTGGAACAGTAACTGTATGGCCCACAAAGATCAAAATACTTGCTATCTAGCCCTTTAGAAAAAGTTGGCCGATATCTTCTCTAGAAAAACAAATCCTACTGAGTCATGCCCACCCCCAGGAGAAGTTTGAGAGAACAAGCCAACGAGATGACCTTACAGTGTGTTCAATCTGAGTTAGGGAGAAAAACATTTGGGATTTCTATAAGAGGTACATGTCTGGGTTAAAGCCTTAAGTAAACTGCCCTTCACCTGGAAAAAGGATTTTTTTCCCTCCCTCCAACAACTCCTAAAATCTAAACAATAGCCTCTCTGGGTGTGTTTTCCCAGTGCTAAAGTCAGGGAGTTTGGACTCAGATTTTCCATTTAAAAACCTCAATTCCACAGGAAAGCAGGGAATAGTTATAGTCTTAAAAGGCAAGTCCATCCCCAGTACCACAGAGACTAATGCTATAAGAATGGTGGGGGGAGAAGGAGGGGACCCACACGATCTTATAACATTAATATGTAGGCCATAAAATGTCACAGTGTTAGGATATATTGCAAAGGTAGAATTCAACATCAGCTGCCAACGTATATTAGGCATTTCTTTTTTTCGCAAATGTGTTCCAGTGAAATTTTTAATAAGAGGCCACTTGGAAAACAAAAAATGTTCTGCATTTTAAATAGCCAGAAATATAGAGAAAATATTCCTCTTTTATCTGAAATTAGTTACAAAACAAGGCAACTTTAAAATAGGATTACAGTATCCTGAGTATCCTACAGGAATCACTGTAAGTCTATTGCACTTTATGTGCAATTAATTTTAAAATGCCCTTAGGGTGGTGTTACATTAGCATAACAAAAAAGTGTAGCTAGGACTGAAAAGCCCACTAACTAGCTATTAAAAAAATAATCAAGGAGGAAATATTCAACTCAAACATGTAGTATACTAAGAGTCTCTCAAGTATTACTCATCTTCTCTTCTTCAACTGTGGGTCTTAGTTGGGTAGAGCTGGTAGAGTGCTAAACACTGGAGACTGTCTTTTTAATGGGGACAGTGGAGGCCCAAAAAGATGGCCTTATCTCCAATTCATCCAGTCAGAGAGTGGCGTGGACTTCTATCAAAGCTTAACCAACAGAACTGAAAATCCATGTGATTGGCTCTGACTATCGCACACCCTCCTGATCGGCTTTCCATAACTCTTCCTGACTTGACACTTCCAAGCTGTGCTTTCCCCATGTCTGAGCCACCTCACCACACCATGTGCTAAGAGATACCAGGAACATGTGCTTCTGTGACATGTCCTGAGTTAGTCTAGAAGACAGCCCTGCTTGTCAGTGGGATAGGATAGGAGCAAGCATTTTTTTTTTTAACTTTTATTTTATTTTATTTAGAGATGGGGTCTCATTCTGTCACCCAGGCTGGAGTGCACTGGCACAATCATAGCTCACTGCAACCTCAAATTCCTGGGCTCAAATGATCCTCCCACCTCAGCCTCCCGAGTAGCCAGGACTACAGGTGCATACCACCACGCCCAGTTAACTTTTTTTTTTATTTTTTGTAAAGACAGGATCCCACTATGTTGCCCAGGCTGGTCTCGAACTCTTGGGCTCAGGCAATCCTCCTGCCTCAGCCTCCTATGCAGTGTTGGGCTTATAGGCATGAACCACTGTTCCCAGCCAGGAGCAAGCATTTAACGCCTGCTGAATAACTATGCTCCAGTTAGGAAGGGTGTCGATGTTTGCTCTTATCTCTTTTGAAATTGTGCATAAATGTAACCATTCCTTCCCCTCCTAAAATTAAAAGGTAGAAAATGAAAACCGTAAAAACACAGTTATTTGATTACAATTTAGGTCTTAGTTACTTTACTTTCACTAGCTGTTAGTTTGGACATGCTTACATTAAAATACTTACCATAAGCTCTGGATACGTAGGCCGTTCTTTGGAATTCTTCTTCAAGCTTAAAGAGAAAAATTAAGCACATTAAAATTAGAAACCACCTGTATTTTCACTAGACTAGGATTTCAGAACCTGTAAAACACTAAACATAACCAGCTATAAAAATGTATTGAAAACATGGGCCTCCTATCTTGACTTTCCTCTTCTTTAACACTTATAAATTATGTTTTAAATCACTCTGGGTATACTTGAATTGTAAAAATAGGGAAAGGGGTGTGTGTGTGTGTGTGTGTGTGTGTGTGTGTGTGTATTTTCCTTTTGATACTTTACCAATGACATACAGGCTAACTTTCTCATATACAGCCACTATATTTCAAAACATATATCTACTTTCCTTCCAAGCAGGCTTTAATGCCAAAATTGGCAGGTATTTTTTATATTACATTTGTTACCTCTTCACTATCTTTAACTATCTAGCTCTTCTTGCTTCTGTTTCTCTTGAATATATAATTTGCTTTTATATACTCCCAACCAAACCTGTCTGGGACAGAAGCAGTAAATCTGTAACACTTCTAAGGTAACACTACTACTTGTTTATGATATCTTAGGTGATTAGAGAGAAAGCACATTCATTCAGTGACTTGGCAATTATTCTTCTTAGGAATACTATGAGGTCATGCAATACAGTCAAGTGGCATCTGGTCATTCAACTCTCGCCATACACAGACATTTAACAACATTTAATATGGAGGCAACAGTAATAAAACTGCAGATAGAGACCAACCTATCCTTAACCCATCCCTATCTTCTATCCACCCCCAGCCTTAAAATGGAAAAAACAAAAGAAATAGTTTATTTGGAGTTGGAATCCCAGGTTATGAATGGACAAAAGGATGATTTTGAAAACCATGATTTGCAAGGCAACCTATAGACTTCTGTGACCTATGGGCCACAAAATCATACATAAATGGAAAGGAACTTTGCCTGGAGTTGAAGGAATCAAAATGTGACTGATTATTAGGTTGCTAGGATTTGTGCTAATGGATCATATATTGAGCAAATGAGACCTAGTATGTGTGACATGAGCTTTCCTCCACCCACAGGAACTACTCATGAGAGTGGTGAGGTATAAAACCATAAGAGAATAAAAAGTCATTGAGACACTTTGAGAAACTGTGGTTTAAAACAAAATATTTTTTAAAAGAGAAAAAGTTTTTGAACCAAAACAACTTAAAAGCAGCCTACCAGTTTATTCCAGGCAATGCTGTGGGTAGATGCCAAGGAACCTGAGACAGGGTACAGGTAGATGTGAGGAGAGAAGTTTCAACCTGGAACTGAGGGCAGACCTAGGACCTAGTGACCTCAGTGACCAGACAACCTATGAGAGAAAGTTTCATCTCAACTGAGGATAAAAATAAGAGTGCATTAGAAAGAGGAATTAACAACTGTCAAAGTCGGATTGATATGGGAATGTGTGCCTGAGTGAAATGAATGAGACCTTGTAACACCCACTCATGGATTTCTATATATCTACATTGTGAGAGTCTACATAGATGGTTCTAAACTGGATGTGATTTTGCTCCCCAGGGGACATCTGGCAATGTCTGGAGGCATTTGGGGTTGTCACAACTGGTGGCAGGGTGTTACTGGCATCTAATAGGTAGAAGCCAGGGAGGTTGCTAAACATCCTAAAATGCACAGGGAAGTCCCCCACAACAAAGAACGATTCAGTCCAACATGTCATTAGGGCAGAGATTGAGAAACCCTGGGCTCTATGTATGCTAGGGGGTCCCTCCTTGTTGCTACCTCCTGTCTCCTTCTCTGAGAAGGAATTCATTTAAAAGAAGAATCTCCAGCTGGTTTATCTGACATTTGGGCACATTGTCACCACCACTGCCTCCCAGCCCCAGAGCAAAATTTTTTCTTTCTAAGTTCAAGAGTTAGTTCACCTAGAAAGAAGCACAGAAGAAGAAATGTGATCCTGGTCAACATTGCTACTTGCACATAGACCCTAGTAAAAAAAAAAAAAAAGGAAACAAAGCAAAACAAAACATAACAAAAATAGGCTAACGTACAAAAGCCCTGAATTTCCCACCATTGTTCAAAGCAAATGAAAAACCAGAAATTCTTCTCTATAATTTGACCAATTTAACTTGCTAAATCAATAACAAAAAAGCACAAACACAACATTAGATCCACACTGAATACTGGAGGGGTTGATTTTGGGTGTCTCTAGACCCTAAGTCTACATTGAATCTGGAATATTCTCACTGAGAACCCTGGCTCACCTTTCCATTATTAGCTTTCATTGGTCAACAACAGAACTAAGGGAATAAGGAAGAAAAGCTTGCTTCTCAAATGAAAATGATGGTCTCTTTTAACAACCAGGGATCTTTCTGGTATTTCTGATTTTTTTTTTTTTTACATTCTATTTAGTAAATATGATAACAAAATAAGACTCTTTCTTCCCAATAGGTAGAAGAGCTTAAACATTTTTTTAAGTAAAGGTGATTTTGATTTTAGAGTCAGGATATCTTATCTTTTCACTTCTGAAACACTTTATAAAAATTTTTCCAAAATTATTATTTTGTGATCTGTATAAAGAAAATATGGGGAAAGTATCCCATTTCTCAATTTATGGCCCCTGATTAGAAAGCTCAAAATTTACCTCAAGTACTAGTGCAGAATGTTAATGGAAAATACTTACACAGCAAAGCAAGGCTGTTTATACAGTTAACATAACTGATAGAACCCATTCTCTCCACCATTTAAATGGAGAACACTTCAAAACATGGGCTAAGAATAGCAAAATCCTCAGGATAAGGTTAGGGCAAAAAGCAAATTTTCCATGTTTAATAGGAAGTGCTTGAAATTCAGTATAAAATAACAACTGTGGAGTTCAAAGCTACACCAATTTCTTTTTGAATTTGAGTCAGACTCTTGAATTTTCAAGTGGCTTGTCATTTTCAAGCGTGCAATTAGCTAACTGCCCTAATTCCTCTTCCAAATGCCACAACACACGCTTCTGACCATAGCTGACACTAAAAAACAGCTTCATGCTGTCTTGAGAATTGCTAGTCTGAAGTTTGTGCTGACCAGAGGATTTCTGCCTATTTGAATTGCCCCGATCGTTTCCAAGAAGGGCTATTTGGTGCATCCACAGAATAAAAACACATTGCACCTCTCAAGCCATATATTTGTCATAAGCTAAATAAACATCCAGTGCCTCTTTTTACTGTCCTTCCTGAACAAGCAGGAGACTGGATTTTATTGTCTCTTTTTTATACTAGTTTCTCTGACTCAGACAGTTTCTGTGTCTGGATGGGCCTCCAACACACTTCAATATGCCATCAGGTGGGTCAGCTGAGCACCAAGCCTCCTAAATAGGCCTGAAGGAACAACAAAAAGGAAGTCTAGCTATTGTGGCACTAGGCAGGTGATTTCCAGTGACTTCCTTCCGTGAACCTATAGGAAGAGGTTATGATGAAAAGTGTAAGCCTGCTAAAATTCCATTTTTGGAGAAACTCATTTGCTAACCCTCCTGCAGGACTAGAATGTAAAACTGCTCTATTAGATGTCTCTATTATGAATCCCAAAAAAAGGCCACTGTGTTCAGCACTACCAACCCCAGGAACTATTTAAAACCCCTATGATAAGAAAGCCCTTGTGTGGGAAAAAGAGGAAGAAAATATCATGCAGTAGACCTATTTCAAAATAAGTACAGAAAGGAAGGGTGTGTAAGAAACCATTGGGTATTTTTCCTTCAAGTTCATATGGTTGACTTTCTCTCTCTTTTTTATTCCCTTGAAGATAACATTTGTCTGATGTTACTGCAAAAGAAATATAGAAGTGGGAATTCTGGGCTCTAGATGTAACTTTGGGTGTGATGATGACAGCCTGTAAGTGCTTTCTGCTCTACCCCAACAAACTATGATTTACTGTCAATTGACAAACTGTCATCAGTACTGATGGGCCAGAGGAGAGTGACCACTAAGTTGATTCCCTGGAAGCAGACTGACAGTACCTAGCAGCATTATGATGTCATCATCCCAAGTTGATCCTCTGGATGGAGTTGTATGCTACCTAGCAGCCTTGTGATTTCATCGATTGCCAGGGTAGGATCCATCCCATGAAAGGTCACAAATACTCTGTCAGTTACCTAAGCTATGGATAACGTGCCCTTTTTCTACATTTATCCCAAAGACAGACGTAGGAGATAAAAACACAGATGTATCCATCTTGAAATCTGAGATTAAATGTTTCACTTTCCAAATCTGTAGTCCTCTTTCCCCACTTAGTGCAAAGAGTTGAGACTTTTTGAGAAGTCTGGAAGGACCACAGCCTGTGTCCTAAAAATATAAAAAAACATGGAGATCACTCAAAAAAGGGTCCTTTTATGAAGGTGTGTCTCAATAGTACAGCTTTATACACAGGAAAACAGAAGAATAGCTGATAACTGGGAGTTATGTTTATAGGCAACACCCTTCTCTTCATCAGGAAGTAGAAGAGATGTTCTTCAGTAACAATCACTTGTCCATTCTTTCCACCTAGCTCCAAATCAAACCTAAAACTTTCCATAATAAACCAGGTGAAATATCAAGATTGTACTGACTGAGTGTATGTACTCATATACTAATATATATGAAAAATTAAATTGCTTTCATAAATATCTAAACCAGTCATAAAGTCTAAAAAAAAAATCTGTGCTAGTTTTTGAAGTATGAGACAACTTTTCAACGCAGTTGGTTTCAAAATAAGTTAATATTCATCCTTAGGGGCTATCAAAGAAAATATATTGGTGGTTTATGGCAGGCAAAAAAATTATTGACATGGGATCTGAAATAGGAGAGCTTGTACTCTGAGAAAGTCCAACTGAGGATAAGAATGCTCATAAAATTCAGAATTAATGTTCCCTTTCAATTTCCTAATTCCCATACCAACAAAAATAACTCACTATTTCACACAGTTGATATCCTTAAGTATTGGATTCTACCAGAGCTATAATACTGAAAGTTTGAGGAAGACAAATTTATCTTTTGATGACTTCTAAGTTTAAGTGATTTTTGCTTCTAATATTATAATTTTTAATAAGCCCCATAAGCAAGACCAACTGATTTACATGAGTGGAAATGAATTAATACAGCGTTAACAGTATTAATAGCATTAACAGTTTCAGGAAAGTTGGAAGATGTCTACAGCTGAAAATGTTTAAGTTAATGAACTATGGTAGCTGGGACTAAAATTGAGAGAAAAAGAGAGGGAAAGGCATATCTCAGAGGGGCAGCCACGAAGACACTATGGGCAGCATGAGGGGAGGGTAGGCACAGTGTGGCCACCACATAAAGAGCAATGACCCAGGTCTCTGGGATTTCCACATATGTGGGCATACATTAAAGTCAGAAAACATTTGTTTTTCAAGATTTTCATTTTTTTAAATATCTGTAAAAGTTTTAATGCTCTGATTCTTTGGGAGAGATTCCAAGTAAGAGGAAAAAATATTCTGGTGAAATAAAAAGTACTAATAATTGAATGATGTTAAATAAATTGCAGAAGGTAAGAAGCCTCTGAACAGAAAGCAACGGAGAGCAGGTCCACAGATCTTATGCTTAAACCAGGGCTTCTCACCCCCAATGGACTTTAGAATGACCTGAGAACATTTGAAAAATATTGATATTCAGGCCCCTCCTTAGACCAATTATATCAGAATTTCCAAGAGTGAGGCCTGGGGCACAGTAGTTTTGAAAACTCGCTACAGTTTTATAAACGAGCAGACACAGTTGAGAACTGTGGGATGAAACAGGTGATTCGCATCAGGGGACTCAGCTTTCTCAAACTTTCCACACCAGCCTTGTTCTCCTCACTGAAGGTTCCTGAAGTACCCAGAATCGGGGGGAAAGAGGGACAAGTGGAAGATGGGTGACAGAGAGGAGAGTCTGAGGAGACTTCCTGAGATAAGATCCTTCCCCATCACCACCCCTCTTGAGAACGACTGATCTGTATTATCCAAGATGACTCATCCTTTTTTCTGTGTGACCTTTAAACATTAGAGGATAAGGAAAAAAATAATAATAAAAAATAAAAACAATAACAACAAAAACCAAGGTTTTGAATCCAGAAAGCAAAACCATGAAACCATTTCAACCTGGCAGATGTACTGCCACATCCTGGACACTCCCTTGAGGAAAATAGACAGGAGGCCACGCCCCAGTAGCCCAAAGGATGTATATTTTAAGAGGCATCCCAGAACGTATTATACTAGGGCTCGGTGCTCCAGCCCCTCTCTGGCCATTCAGCCAAAAACAAAAACAAACAACTGTACGGCAGCCTCATCTATCATTAGATAAAAGTATCAGGGGTGAGAAGGGGCCGAGGACTCACGAAAAGTCCGAGAGGTCTTAGTTTCACAAGCAACAGATAGTTGCTTTGTCTCATCATGGTTCCCAATAAAAGTTGTATTCAGAACACTTCTCCCAGGAATCATGGAGGCCAAGGGATGACATCATGGGCAAGGTGTTCCGTCAGCCTCCTCTGTACCTCCAACAGCCTGTAAAGCTCTGGGTCCTTCCTCAGCAGCGAGTGGTCAGAATGCTCCCCTCCGAGGGTCACAGCTGCGCTTGCCACTGTCTCTCACCCCTCTTCCTCCCAGGATGCCCAAATAAACTAACATGGCTCCACTTTGTGCTTTACTTTTGGCATCCTCTTTCCAGAAGCACTGGCCACGGTCATCACTATCAAGCTATGCCAGACATCATGGTCACTAGGCAGACACAAAGCACTCAACTGTCTGGAGAATACTTTTCCCTCTCTTACTTTTCTTGATCACGCTGGCAATTTCCATGAAAACATAAAGTTTACTGTATTAGTATGGTTCCTTTCTTCTTTCTACCCCAACTTTCTTTGGATTCCTTTCCCAGACCCCCAGCACGATCCATTCTGCCCTCATGGGTAAGTCCATCCACAGTTAGCGAGTCTTCTACAGGAGCCAAGATTCTGTAAGACTTCGAGGTACCTGAGTAACACTCTCACACTACCCACTATCTTCCCACCCAAAGTGATTCTTTTCCTCTACTCCCTAGCTCTAGACGTCTGGTAGGTCCCTACCAGCTTTCTCGTTATGCTCTAATCAAACATCAAATTGCTTATAGCTCATAGAAAATAGTTTCTTGCTTTTGTGACACTATGTGTGATATTCCTTTGTTTGGAATACCTTCCTTCCCCTACTTCCCCTTTCCTTGGAAAACACCTCTCATGGTCTCAGCCCAGGATTTATCTCCTCCAGAAAAATTTATGCTGATGCCTTTCCCCTGGGGTCCCTGAATTCCTTGTGCATATCTCCATCACTAGACTTGCTGTATTATATTAAATATGATAATTACTAATTTATGAGACTTCTTTACTTGACTTTGAGCTCAATGAGGGCAGAGAGTGTGATACAGTCATTTCTCCCCCCCGGCGTCTAGGGCATACTCCACAAATGCTTTCGGAATGAATGCATGCATAATGGATTACACCTGATGGAGGAAGTCCATGAGAACTCATCTTCTTTAGCACTGACACCTGGGAGATGAGGCTCTCTTACCACTGTGAGGTAAAGTCAACAAACTCTGCAGAGAACTTGTCTGCTGGCAGCTGTGGCGATGGCTCTTCTACCACCTGTTTGAGCTGCTGAAATGGAGTTCCCCACGAATCATAGGGAAACCGAAGGATGGCCAATTCAATCTAGGGGAGAGAGGAAACAAGGAGGTAACAGGTTAAACGGGGCTGCTGTAGGGAAGCAGGTGTGTTTTTCATTCCTGGAACACCAGAGGGAAATACAAAGATGACATTGAAGTATAATGTGGGGGGAAAAAATAAACTAATAATCTATTCTCTAACAGTTTCCCCAGATTCCTAGTTCTAGGGATTTTCAAATAAGATCTTACTAGAGACTGCCACTTAAACCTATAAAAAACAGGGTCCCTCACTAAAATTTACTGTGGCAATTCATAAAAATTGCAAGCCAACAGTATCAAACTTCAGGAGGCAAAGCAAACTAGTTTTCAAAGTGTGGTCTGAAAAGTCAATTCCCACCCTAAGATCTTTACAAAGCTGTACCTCTACTGCCATCTGCAGGTGCTTTGGTGAAATGGCGGTTGGGAAAGTAACCTACGGTCAGATGACTGATCTTTTTTTGGACTTGAGTAGAGGCCACTTTGCCGTCACAGGATCACGTGTTTTCTGGACAAGGACGTGAAATAACTCACAGGATTTAATCAGCTGCTGTGCCCGGGAGGGAGCCAGGACCACAGTGGATAATTCCAGCCCTTGGTGATACCCTGTAAATTTATGATCACCAAGGTTATGCGTAAGGCACTGATCATATAACTTTAGAGCTGTGCCTAAGGAAATTATCCAATTTGTTATCATGTCTTTAGGATATACCTGACCTTAACAGCTAATATTTCTATGATAAAAATATTGTGGGAGGCATAGCCTATGTCCTAGATAACACTGCCCTACCAAGGTCCACAAATATTAGCTTTCTTTGTGTAGCTGAAGCTTCTTGCCTTGACTAGAATAATTTAATTTTAAACTATAAGGAATCTAGTCAGATCATCTCATTTTACAGATGAGGACAGAAAGAGAGTCTATGTAACTACATCAGTTATTCAAGGGCATACAACTAATCAGAAGTGGAATAAAGAGAAAAATTAATTTGCCCAATCTCAGTTCAGGGTTTCTACTACACCACACTGCAAACAATTATCACTCAAAATCTCCTGTCATGTCAGCAGGAAAGGATGCCCCAAGCCAGCACTTTGGGCATTTGCTTCTTGGTCCCAAATCCACTCATTGCAGTTTCATCCCCTTAACCTTATAGTCCATGATGATTGTCATACGCTACCATTGTGATGCCCAGACTCCAAATGTCAGACTTCACACTGTATCCCTTCTGGTTGAGCTCTGGGTTTATTCTTTCCGGCTAAAAAGGAGACAGACAGCTAAGAAACTGGAAAGACAATTGAGATGACATTCTTAGCTCAATAAAGTCTCTGGGGGTTGGGGTAGTACCAGCTGCCAAGTGACTTGTTTTAAGCTAACATGCCTCCCAGGCCGAGAGGGCTCAGTAATTACGATAAATATCAATGTCTTCCTGGGGTTTTCCTTCTTCTGTATTACTCTTTTCTTGGACACAGTAATGGATTGAGTTCCCTTCAAAACCAACAATTTCAATTTCACCTTAAGAAGAAAGCGGGTCTATGTTATAAAGTTACCATCTAGAATTATCCTTGTGAAAAACATCAGTAGTCTAGAACTCAGAAAAAAGAATCAATAGCTCAGGTGTGTTATCCCACTGATCCTGGAATCCCAGTGCTTTGGGAGGCCAAGGCAGGAGGATGGCTTGAGGCCAGGAGTTCAAGACCAGCCTGGGCAACATAGCAAGACCTCCCCCATCTCTACGAGAAATTAAAAATAAAAAAATCAGCTGGGCCTGGTAGAGCACTCCTAGAGGCTGAGGCAGGAGGATTACTTGAGCCCAGGAGTTCGAGGCTGCAACAAGCTATGACTGTGCCACTGCACTCCAGCCTAGGTGGCAATCTCTAAAAAAAAAAGAAGAAGAAGAGAGAAGAGTCACTGGGCTATTGTCCTACATTGATAGATCTAGCAACTTTTAGCTAAGCACACACAGAAAAAGCCTTTCAACTCCAAGCACAAGTCCATTTCCAGGTAGAATGCAGTGTTACGTTCTTTCGGTTAAAGAGGATCCCAAGGTCTCTGCTAATGGCTACAAATCTTCACAGCCTTGAGGTTCTCTCATGATTAACTCAACTTCTTTGCTTGGGTAATTTAAATTCTACCTACTATTCAATTTTCAACAAACAAGGTAACACTCACCTGCAACTCAGTGTGCAAAATTGTATAGGCTGTATGTATTGTTTATGTGGTTTTTTTTTCAAATAATATATCTCTTTTACTTGATTTTTTAAAAGTAGTATTAATATATATATATATGCACCCTGGTCTGAATGTTTGTATCCCTCCCAAAATCCATATGTTGAAACCTAATTACACATGTGATGGTATTAGGAAAAGGGTATTTTGTGAGGTGACAAAGTCACGAGGGTGGAATGCTCATGAGTAGGATTGGTGCCCGTATAAAAGAAGCCCTAGAGAGATCCCTCACTCCTTTCCCCACGTGAGGACATAGCAGGAAAACGTCATCTATGAACCTTAGACAAATGGGCCTTTGCCAGACACTGAATCTACTGGCATCTTGCTCTTGGACTTTCCAGCCTCCAAAACTGTGAGAAACAAATTTCTGTTGTTTATAAGCCACCTGGTTTATATTATTTTGTTATGGCAGCCAGAATAGATGAAGACAATGTATGAAACAAGTGACTAAAGATTTCAGACAGGACATATTTAAGAAACAAAGAAGATGCAGAATATTTCTAGAGCCTTAGGCACATTTCAATGTTCCCTCTGTGGCCATCTGTTTTCTATCTCCCCACGTGCTTTGCTGGCAGTTGTGTTCTCAGGTGCCACCCCCAGCTACTGTACTTACGGCCATGTATGGTTTGCAACCTGCATCAATTGTTTTAGCAACAGAGTCCACCAGGTAGCCACTGATTCCAAAATCGCACATCTTCACTTGGCCCAGAGCATTAATGAGCACGTTGGAAGGCTTGACGTCTGAAACCAAAAACAATCAGGATCCCATTATTTCAGTCTGCTTTCAAGATTCATTTCTTGACCAGCAGAGGGCCTGAAATCTCCACTTGTCCCTCACCTTCCTTTCCCCAACTTGCCCCACACAGAAGTAACTGTCATCCCTGACTCATAGTTACATACTGCTTATTGCCTTCAATTTCATTTTCTATTTCAGGTTTTGTCTGGGTTTTATTGGACTGTGAATCCATCAGTGGAAAGAACTGTTTCTTCTACTTATTTTATCATCTTCATTGTCCCCATACACGTAGAAAGAACTTTAAAAGTTATTACTGAAGCAAATGCTCAGTTCAAATGATCTATTGATATTTAGTTTAGAAATAATAGAACAAGGAATGAAAAAGCAGACTGTAGCACAATGATACACTAAATATGATCAAAGAAACCAGTTTTGATTGAAACTTGCACAAGAGATATGTCAGAGGTCATACAGTGTAATGAGTCATAAACCCAGGTATTCCAGACGGAAGAAGGGGTATTATTGAACAGATGTGGAATGAGTTCTTCATACTAGAAAGATATAACCCACCCACCCACACGCCCAAAAAGCTTAACTATTGTCATCTCTGGATAATGGAATTAGAAATTACAGTTATTTTTTTCACTTGGTGATACTTTTCACAAAGTACATGGGATCAGGAAAAAAGATATTTTAAAAAGCTTTAAAAATTATCCTTTATAAATTTTCCCTTAAACTGATGGATATACAAATTTAATTTTATTATTTTTCATGCTTTATATATATTCTCTATTATGAATTAAATATTTCATAATTCTGAAATAAACTCTTAAAAATCAGTTTCACATTTGTGGATAATCCATAGTCTTCTTCCTATCTGTATCCCTTCCCACTTTCTCCTCCTCATCTTCCACCATCTTATTTTCCCAATTATTAATAATGACAACTAATGATAATAATAGGAACACTGTACAAGGCATTTTACATTATTTCTAGGCTCAGAGAGTTTAAGAATTACCAAAACCACAATGCCATACTAGTTATCAATACTTCCTATTAATTTTCTCAAAGACTTGGTTGAGTATATCTCTTCCAAGAAGATTTCCCTGACTATAATCACCAAATGACAATCATTTCTTTGTTTTACATTCTACCTATACTACTTTCATATTTGGTACTTTCATATTTCCAAGGTGGTTTTTCCCCTATTTTTATATATTTATCTTATTTTCCTATCAAGAATTCCTACATAGAATTTTAATAATAATATTATTTTCTTCTCAAATGGCTTCTCAGGGCATCTATTATAGTGCTATATTTTTAAAATATTATAAAAGATGAATAGATGGATGAATGGGTGGATAAAAGACAGATGAATGGATATAAGGTGGAAGAATGGAAGGATAAAGAGAAAAAAAGCTTACAAGAAGGAAGGAAGGGGAGGAAGGAGAGGAGGAAGAGACAAACCATGTTGTCCTGCCTCCTGTCTGAAAGGGCTCTGCTTTATATCAGAGCTTTTCACACTTTAATATACACAAGAATCACCTGGGGATCTCGGTCAAAATGCAGATTCCAATTCATTTGGTATTAAGAGTCATGACTGGCCGGGCGTGGCCTGTAATCCTAGCACTCTGGGAGGCCAAGGCGGATGGATCGCTCGAGGTCAGGAGTTCGAGGCCAGCCTGAGCAAGAACGAGACCCCGTCTCTACTAAAAAAAATAGAAAGAAACTATCTGGACAATGAAAAATATATGTATAGAAAAAAAAATTAGCCGGGCTTGGTGGCAAATGCCTGTAGTCCCAGCTACTCGGGAGGCTGAGGCAGGAGGATCGCTTGAGCCCAGGAGTTTGAGGTTGCTGTGAGCCAGGCTGGCACCACGGCACTCTAGCCCGGGCAACAGAGTGAGACTCTGTCTCAAACAAAAAAAAAAGAGTCATGACTTTGCTTTTCCAACAAGGTCCCATGTGATGGCCAATACAAGATGAATTTTTATCCTATTCTCTAAAATTCTCAATGACATAATCCCACAGCTTTGCTTGGTAACAGTCATTTTATATTCAATGTAGAGGTAACAGAAAGCCCATGTCTTCTTACGTCCTCAGCCACGATAAAGAATAGCTACTTCTATGATTTGCTATCCAACCCCAAAGGACGGCTCCTTAGTTCTCTTGCCTGACTCGGTTCTACGTCCATCCATGAGGGGAAGGGTGGTGAGGAGGGACTTCAGGTAAAAGAAAGAAACTTTACAAAAGGAACAGCCGAGGCAGGTCCATGGATACTAACCTCGATGAATGACAGAAAGCTTACTGTGTAAATGTTCTAATGCTTTTACAATCTGCAAGAGAAACAAAGATAGATTTATTTACCACATCACTGGAAAGAAAGTGAATGTTAAGTATATCCAGTTTTTTTATCCCTAGCTTAAGGTCCCAGGGTGAGGTATTTTCTCAAATACTGGTGGTCCTATCCAGGAAAAGACAGGGGAAGTTATACAAATTGTACTCCACCCACCAGAGAGGACTACATCTTATAGCAGAGAGGATGTCTTCCTCATCTACCTTGCTCTTCATTTGCTCCCAAGCATTCCTTTTTCTCTCCACCCTCCTGAACCTCAATACCAGTAAGGTAGCAGACCTTTCTATTTCTTTTTCTTCTGCTTCCTTCTATGCCTATTAGTCTTAAGAAAACATTTAAAAAATCTACAGATGAAAATCAAAATAAACTAATATCAGAATATAGACACCAGGAATGTGGTCACAGGAGATGAATGCTCTGCTTAGAAGCATTTAACTTAAGAGTTAACCAAACCAAGTGAGTGCTGGAATCTTCTACACGGTGCTCAGAAAGAAAAGCATGTATTTATCCATCCACCAATGAACTCATGCATTCGACAGACACGTACTGGACAGTGGTTGTGGTCCAGGTACAAAGACACAGAAGGCCTAGACTTCTCATATTCTCCTTGTAGTAGGGTTCACAGTATACTCACAGAAACTGCTATTTTCCCTAAGATGTCCTCTGGAATTGTTTGGCCTTTGTCAATGACTTGTTTGTAGAATTTATCTAGCGATGTGTCCATAAGCTCCATGCAGATCCACACATCACCCTGGGGACCAATTGGTTCAGGGATTGTTGAAAAGGATGGAAAAGGGAAAAAGCAAAAACAGTTAACACCTATCCTGAAGAACTGACTATTTTTTGCTTGAGTTTTTGGACGAAATGTATGGTTTTCCGTTAAGATCTCAAAGGTATTTATAAATAAGCAAGATTATCTCCAAAGAGCAAACCAGCAAACAGCCAAGCACTGAATCTGCATGTGATCTCTCAGTCCTTAACAAAAAATGGACTCCAATTACTCACAGACATAAGCAACAGAACCCCAGAAATCCAAGCCTTTACTGTTACTGCTGTCTAGGAGTTAGGTCTAAATGCCTATTCCTTGTCTGATCTCCTATACTGAGCGCCAGCAATAGTCAAAAAAAGCCTTTGAAGAGTGAGGTGAAGCCTTGTAATCCACATAATCATAAAGTGAAAAACAGAGGTAGAACAAAGATCAAATTAAGCCTATATGATACACAAGCAGGCTACATGAAGCTCATAAAGTGGCCAAAAGACCAGAATATTTCAGATTTTAAGGAATCAATGCAAATCAGTTTATAGACAATTGATAAGAGACAGTTCTGCCAAAATAGACAAAACAAAACAGAAAGAAGAGAATCAGCAACTTAAAAAGGGCTAACCATACTTGCAAGTACCATAATTTTAAGCCAACTTTGCACCAAGGCAGGTCATCACTGCACACATGAAAAACTCTCCAAACAAGACATGTCAAACAAGAGAGAGCACCGTGATTGTGTATGGCATTTATGTGATCAGAGAAACTTCTTTAGTTATTGTTCTTGGACTTTGAATTGATCCATCACCTACCTCCCGGAAGAGTGCGCCATAGAAGGTGACGGTAAACGGACAATCCACTGTCCTCATGGAAATATCTAAATCCATCAGTAGCCGTTTCTGCTCCTGGCTATTTACCGTGGCCCGGATCCGCTGAATGGGAACGCATGGGAAATTTATGATTACTACTCTGAGGATGAGTAAAGCAGGGACCTTAAGGAGTTTCAGCCTGAAGACAGTACAAAATTCACACACAACTTCTAGCAACATCTTCCGAATATCAACCCCAAGTGATTGGCTATTTGTAAGACATGAAAATGAAATATGGAAATATGGAATGATTATAAATTTCTTTGCATAACACAAAAACTATGCAAATTTACTCTAGATGTATTTTACCCTCCTTTTTCCACAAATGGAGACAATTTCCTCTATCAGTTCTGGTTTCTTGATTTTTTAGGGACAATTCTTTAAAAGTAACAGAATATAGAATAAAAGAGATTTATGAGTCACAACAGCCAAATGCAATATGTGAACTTTTGTCTGGATGCTAATTTGAAAAACCAACCAGATGGGGGAGGGCAAAAAAAAAGCCACTTTGAGATGATCAAGGAAATTTTCATTTGTATTGGGTATTAGAAGAGATTAAGGAAGTATTGTTAATTCTTTTAAGGGTGATGATGACACAGTGGTTTCATGAGAAATGGAGGGAGGAGGGAGAGGGGAGACTTAGCATTTAAAAAATAAATAAAAGTAGATGCAACTCACACCAAGGAAGCGTTTTCCACACATTTGGAGGGAAATATTGCTCCCTGCAAATAACCTTTTCTGTTTCGCCCTACTGAAGATTGTTTTGCTTCTACAAAAAGGGCTGATGTACAACTGAGATGGACAAACGTACACACTGCAGACATAGAACGTTTGGGGGAATGTCAACTCTACCTTCACTGCCATGATCTGCTCACTGGGTACATGCCGCATCTTCTCCACCACACCGTACGCACCTCGTCCCAGTTCCATTATAGGCTCCAGGTCATCTGCCTTCACCTCAAAGTTCTGCAAGACAGAAAAGTAGTAATGCAATAGGAAAGAGAAAAATAAACTGAACAGAGGCCATGCTGTCCTCTATCTGGTTTCTCCCAATGTTCTAAGGATTATTTCTGGGCCAGAAAATTTTCTAGCACGTCAAAGCAGCCCCTGAAAGCAAGAAGCACCCGGAGGTATTTAAGCTCCCAAAGGAGGCCACTTGCTTGTCACAGGCAACACAGAAACCCAACTCCAACTCAGCTTTCCCATGGCTCAGTGGAAGGTTTCTACACTGCAGTTCTTTAGCCAGAACCCCTCCATGATGTTTGTAATCCACTACTGACTGGTGCCAACTGGATTATGACTGGGCTTTGAGAAATGCACTCCCAAGAGAATCATCTACTGTCCTCAAATACCTTCCATCAGAACCACAACAGCCTAATTTCAATACACCATTCAAAGGAGCAAAAGCTCCACATACCACTTCCCTCAAAATTGAAGCTTTGTTTTGACTCATCCCCTGACAGCATGTTAGAGAAAATAAATTTTTCAGAGGTCAATCAGAAAGCCTACATAGAAAATGGCCAAGGTATTAACTGGCAGACATGATTTTTCTCACCTGATTTCCAATAGAAATGCAAGCCTTGGAGTCTAAATCTCGAGGTGGCCTAAGAAGGATAAGGGGGAAAAGAAGAAACATGAGATATTTAATCAATTATGTCCTCTCTAAATCACATGTGACTAGAGAGGTTTTTCCTTTGGAAGAAAGTGGAAGTTCATGAGTACCGTAAAGCAGCATAAGAATGTGAATAGTATGGCATTTGAAATGAAATACATTTTGGGTTTAAATTATTTAATTTCTTTTGTCCTTCATTTCTTCTTTAACATGAAGATACTAATATACCTACCTCATGTAGCAGAAGTTAGTGTTAAATGAGATAGTCCAAATAAAATACTCAGCAGAATGCTTGGCATACGGTAAATATCCAATAAATATGAGCCATATGTATGGAGTTATATAGATAATTATGCTATAGTAGTAAGTCTCAAACTTCTTTCATCCAAGAGCACCAACATATACAATTATTCCATGACTTTTTCTGTACCATTTAATAAAAAAAAAAGAAATAATACTTGGCCTATGATTCTATTAACTCATAAAATTCATAGAACATAGGAATTCCAAATGTAGTCCCTTCCTTTATAGAGGGACAAAATGTCCAGAAAGGTGAGGTGACTTGTCCCAGGTCACAACTAACCCAGGTCCCCTAATTTCCAGCTCAGCATTCCTTCTATTCCGCCAGGCTATCTAATTGAGTTCAGTGATATTTCTTCCATACATGGTGTATATACTATTCATGGGTCTTCTGAGGAGCCAGAGGTTTGCTGGTTTTGTGTTTCCATAGTCTCCTTGTGTGTACTTTTCTCTGACTTCAATGATCTCTCAGTTGGTATCAATCTACTCAAGAGAAAGATGTTTGGCTTTGGCTATGCACCAAACCAGGAGCCTAGAAAGGCATTTTCTTGAAGGAAAGGTACCAAAGATATCGTGACAAAAGTAACAAATGCCAAGAAACATACGGTTAATATGATCAAACAACTAGAACAACTAGAGGCTAAAGACAAAGGAATGCTAGTGCTGCCAGAACAGAGGGTGACCAAATAGGTGGAAACTCAAGTCTCTCTGGAGGCACATTCCATCCAGAACTGTCTTTGGAAAAATGCAGAGGAAAATGGAAGGAAAAGAGGAAGGAGGGAGGATGAAAAGGAGAGAGAAAAGAATCCTTTGGCAATGACGATTTTTCCCACCCTTAATATATGATGATTCTTTCCTTTTTGCTGAAACTAAATACATAAATAAAAGAATAAGGAAGAAATAGGAATACAAATACAGATATGAACATGAATCTAAGATTTTAATGGCAAGCCTTCTCTTACTTCAAAATCCCTTTGATATGCATAGAATATTTATGGTTTTTCTATATTAACTTACAACCAGAGACTGGGAGGAAGGGAAAGAGAATAAAAAACAAAATGCATATACACACACAAATGGCAGTAATGTGTTTATACAGCTCGTGTTTCTGAGCAGGAAATTTTTCTTCAGAAAAACCTTTCTGAAAGAGTCAAATTTTGAAAATTCTAATTTCTCATTCTTAAAATTCCCAAAGCTGTTCTTTAGTTGTCATGATTTGTACTAATCGTAATGGCACTTTGAAATAAAGACAAATATGACTTGAAACATACAATATAAACAATAAAACATCCCTCAGAATTATTTAGCACTCTGCCTTTTGAAAAGTATGAAGCAACAGAAAGGTCACTAATTATTTGGGGCTACCTCTGTTTTCTTGCCATCCAGTGAGGGTAGTGGATGAGATATGCCCATGTGAGTACAAGTGAGCCAAGTGAGTACTCGGGCATGGCAGGATTTTCTTGGGAAATAGTTCTACAGTTACCCTAACACGTGAACGAATAATCAATGGGCGGCTCTCAGCTCTGCACAGCATAGCATTAACAGATTTTCACTGAGAATCAAGGTTGGTTTGGAGCACGTGGAAGGGCTTTGTGAACAACCCATTTCTATACAAATGTAGGGTGATGCCATTACCATTACTTTTACTATTATCATTATTCTCTTGGAGATTGGCTGGAATTTACCAAATCATTTTGCCTCTCCTGTTTCCTTGTATGCCATATAAAAGTATTTTCAAATGAGAGGTTTATGATTATTAACATAGTATTGAAATCAAGAATGAAAAATATTAACAAGGGCAGGAATAGGAGGCTTCTTAAATTATTTTCATAATTATTGTTTGCCTTCTAGTAATATTTGCTTTAAGTAATTTGTGGAAATAACTAAGCAAATATATGAACAATTAATCCTTTATTGTAGGCTGTAGTGTTCTATTTTTTTCTATAGAATTAACAGTATTGAGACTTTCAGTTAACTGTTCTTAAGTAAAAGTCTATAAAATGTTCATGCTCTCAGAAATCATAGGGAATACATTCTAGTTAAAAAAGAGTACATATATTTATTAATGCAAAAAATATCTCTTCCAGGTCTAATATTCTTGTATTCTATATACCAGGGCTCAGCAAACTACAGCCTATGGTCCAGCTAAGCATGACTTTTATAAGTTTAAATTGCTGTAAAACACAAACAAAGAATATCTAATAGAAGCCACTGCGGCCCATGTAGCCTAAAATATTTACTATCTGGCCTTTTATGAAAAAAGTTTGCTGACTTCAGTTCTATAATAACCTTGCATTACACCTCGACCAAATATTAATAAGGGTTTGGTGTCATTTTCCAGATTTAAAAGAACGAAACCCAGAACAGCTTGGTGATTTTCTGAAGCCATCCAGTCATCAACAGAGCTGAAAATAAAACTCACATCACCTGAATCTCCGTCTTAATCTATCTCAGTCTTAATCTAAGGAGGAGAAAGTGGAAGAGGAGAAGGAAATATGAAAACTGGGCTAAGAGCTTTACTCCCATGATTCCCATCCAAGTATGCTTGAATCCAAGGAACGTGTTCCCAATACCCAGACTTCCTCCCATGAAAATGATCAATTCACCCACGCCTCAGGCCTCTGAGCTCATCACATCTGCCAAAAGCATCAAATGATGGGGCCAAGACTGACAGATCAAATTGGATTAGTTGATGCTGTGTTCTGCCCAGGGCTGGGCATAAGAGTTTGCCTGGGACATTGTGACTCCGCAGGAAGTTTATACTGTGGGTGGATGTTCTCTATCTTAGTCCTCTGTGGAAACAACCAAGCTTATTACAAAATTCTTCCCCTGACAGACCAAAGGTATTCCAAAGGTCACCTCGTGTTAGTTTTTCATGTGAACAACCATCTTTTGTTTATTACAGTAATTATTTATTTATAATTCTATACGAGTAATCAGTTCACTGGTTATTATTCCAATTATTATTCATTTATTCAAAAATATTTATTAAGCACCTACTCGGGCCAGAGATTGTGCTACACCATTTACATAAAATAGCTTTAATTCTTACAACTCTTAGAGGTATTATCATCTCTATTTCACTGGGAAGACCTGACATTGAAAGAAACTAAATAATTTAAGGACTTTCAAAAGAGATGATGAGATTCGAATGCAGAGCTGCACCATGATGACTTCTCAACTACAGAAGTAAAGGATCCCCACCTCTCACTTCACTAGCCATCAACTGTTCGGTCACAATCTCAACCAGGCTAATGTGTGGCAAAGAGCACATAATTGAGGGTCGGAGATCCCCAAAGGCAGCTCTTCCAGTTAGAAGCGATGCAATAACGTCAACTTGGAGCTACCTTTCACTGAGCAATTACAATGCACCGGGCACCAGGCTGGACACTTAATATGGATTATGCGATCTAATCCTCTCAAACAACCACATCACTTTTATTCCTATCTTATAGAAGGGGAAATTAAGGCTTGGTGCAGTTAGGTGTCTTGCCTAAGGTACTCAACTAGTGAAGTTTAGAACCCAAATATAAACCTAGGCATTTTGGCTCCAGAAGCTGAACTCTTACCCATGAAGCTATGCTCAATGGCTTTGAGCAAAGCACCTGACCCTTGCACAGTTCTGTTTTTTCACATCATGTGAGAGTAATAAAAGCTGCCTCCTGAGTTTCTCGTAGTGATTAAACAAAATAATATTAACTGCCATAGAGTTGATTTAGGATTCGTTACGATCAGTCAAGTGAGGAGACAGCTCAGAAACCTAAGTTGAAGACACATTGGCATTGGAAACTCAAAGAAAGCGCTCCAGCACAGGGCCCACACACAGTGAACTTGGGAGAATGGAGCTCTGTCCCAGGTTGTTTATTTGTGTGTAGCACAGCAGAAGAAGGCAGGGTATAAATGGTAAGAATCACCAAGCCAACCTCAAAAAAATTGCCAAGAAAAACATAAAATGTGGAAACTACTTCTTTAGGAGTACAAATTTAAGCCTCAGTATTAAAATAAGAAGACGACTCTTTGACCTAAAGTGGTATGCTCTACAATATTGAAGTGATGCTTTTGGCTTC